TTTTTAAGGCAATGAATTTGCAATAAGTCAAGAAGAGTGTCACTGCGTGAGAAATCACGACGTACTCCTCCCATTATTAGGATGCATCCATACAGCGTCAAGAAACGAAAATTTCACCAATGTATCAGTTGATGGTGACATTTTGTGGATCATGATGATTAAACCATTTAAACCAAGAAATGCAGTAATGACGGAATGAGTAGGAGGGTATTGTAAAGGTCTGTTTTTATTTTGTAGACTCTGATCATGATTTAGAGTAGGTTGTGCCATCGACCTCCTCTGTCAATTGAGCTCTAAAAGCAACAAAATGTTGGAAATACATTTCAGTTCTGCCTATACCTTTAAAACCAACCAAACTGTTTCTTAGCTTTAGCAGACATATTTCACCAGAGCTGGAGACCACTACTAGGTCTTTTGCCTTTGGAATATCAACATTTTCTGATACAGGAACATGATAAGATTTGTAATTTTCCTCTGCATACATTTCAATTTATTTGTGGTCTTAAAAAGATAAAGAACAAATACTAAAGAGAGTAGTTTATATTTAAATGTCATAGGAAACCAGTATTACTTAAAGGGAAACAGATACTCTGAAACTACATGGAGATACTGAAGGTAATATGTATCGTATTCAGGTTTGAGTTACATCCTTATTTATTGGTTATATTTTGATTTTAGGTTTGAACACGACATTGTTTTATATATCACTAATCAGGTCATGTGCTCTTTGAGAAACAAAGGGAATGCTGTTGAGAATGCTTCCTGTGTGTAGAACACACATCTATATATAAAGTGTTAATTGATTGTACCTTGTGTGGATGTAGAGAATTAATTCATTGCAGGCATAGTCATAGCAGAACATGTTAGTAAGTATAAACCTAGTTTAGTGCAATAATTTATGTGGGTAAATAGAGAATTTTTTTAGGTTATGTAAGCCATCGCTGCAATGTATAAAAACTGAAAGAACTGCGGATGCTGTAAATCAGGAACAAAAACAAAGTTGCTGGAAAAGCTCAGGTTTGGCAGCACCTGTGAAAGAGAAAACAGAGTTAACATTTCGGGTCCAGTGACCCTTCCTCAGAAAGCTCAGAACCCAAAATTTAACTCTTGTTTTCTCCTTCACAGATACTGCAATGTATGAGTACAGTAAAGGAACCATTATTATCATGTTAGGGTTAATGGTGTAGATGTGGGACATTCCACAATCTTGATGTGACACACCCATTGTGAAGATTCAATTTATCTATAAAATTAAGAGGAATGCTGCAGAATATTTTTCGTCCATGCAGATTCTCCCTTTAATCATTTACTTGTGAGTGGAACAGGAGGATGGACAGCAGGCAAGTCTGGCCATTTTTTAATATTCATTCACAGGAAGAAGGCATCATAGGCTAGGCCAGCATTTATTGCCCATCTCTAATTGCCCTGAGGGCAGTTAAGAGTCGACCAAACGTCCGTGGATCTGGAGTCACATGTGGCCAGAGCAGGTAAGGATGACAGTTGCTTTCCTTTAAAGGACATTAGTGAACCAGATGGGTTTTTCCTGACAAGCAACAATGGATTCATGGTCATCATTAGATCCTTAATTCCAGATTTTTATTGAATTCAGATTCCACCATCTGCCGTGCCAGGATTTGAACTCGACCCCCAGAACATTAACTGGGTTGCTGGATTAGAAGTCCAACGATAACACCACTTAGGTCATTGCCTCCTGTTATTAGGCACCTTCACAGTGGATGTTCAAGTGCATAGTGCCTAGTCAGCAGTATGGCTTCAGGAGATTATTCCTCCAATATATCCATGCAGCTGTGCGTGTGAAGACAGTGTCTGATAACTTTCAAGAACTACTGATCAATCTAACATCAAAATTGCAGAGAAAGTTTCCTGTACTAACTCTTTTTAGAGAACCTTTTTGTGGAGATCATTATATAAATGCATAAACAAGATTTGATGTGACTCTTAACATCCAACATGTTCTCCTTTATGAGGTGAGAATCACTCAATGTTGACTTTTCTGAGATACATCGTGTTTGTATTAGCCCATGTTAACATATCTGAATTAGTGAATGCATAATGGGGAATGCTATTTAGCACTGGCAATTCTAAAGATGCTACTGCTGATTCCTTGTCTCTCACTTCCTTGGGGATCATTCTTCCTTCTGTGAAGATTAGCAAAAGAAACAGGAAAACAATGAATTTCCTGTTGTTCACTTTTAATTTCTTGTGGGCTCATGCACGAGTCTTCCCTGAGTATGGGCAACGAAATAGTGAGATTGTTTATTTGACTTTTTGGCCCTCTGCATTTATTTCGCACAGGCTATCTGTGACACTTTTTGGAATTTCCTTTCCCAAACTATCTGCCTATTAATCTTCCTTCTCTTTCAGATAATTGCTTGAAACTCACTACATTGATCAAATGTTTGGCCATCTTCTTTCTTGGCTTGGCATCCATTTTTTTTTGATTCAGCTTTATGAAGTACCTTTTGGATGATTTTCTATTTTATAGCACAATATGAATACAAATTGTTGTTTTCCTACCAGTCCCCGGTGTAAACAAAATTCCCCTAATGTTTTTTCCCTTATCCTTTAGATAATCTTAAAGTTATGTAATACAGATTCTGGTTCAACTAGTCGATATACTTTTTGCTAATTTGTTTAATTAAAACCTGTTACAATCCAACAAGGAGGAAGTGTCTCCCTTACTTTTTCCCACTCCTCATTTGATTGCGACAGTTTTTTTAGAAAGGATGTGCTTGCTAATTCAGTGAGGGCTAATGCGCTATGACAGCAAAAGGTACAAACACTTCTGATACTTTGATAAATCTTATTTCTAAGATGATAAATAGTCCTTTGAGTGCTTGTGAGGTAACCTCCTACATTATGACTTGAGTGGGTTCTGAAGTTGAATTGCTGAATTTTAATCATAGAATCCCTACAGTGTGGAAACAGGTTCTTCAGCCCAACATGTCCACATTGACCCTCGGAGCATCCCACTCAGAACCATCCCCTATAACCCACCTAATCTACACATCCCTGAACACTACAGGCAATTTAGCATGGCCAATCCACCTAACCTGCACATCTTTGGACTGTGGGAGGAAACTGGAGTCCCCGGATGAAACCCACGCAGACATGGGGAGAATGTGCAAACTCCACACAGACAGTTGCCCGAGTGTGGAATCGAACCCAGGTCCCTAGCGCTGCACTGTGAGGTAACAGTGCTAACCACTGAGCCACTGTGCCGCACCGAATTTTGTTAGGTTTGGGTTCTAAATTCAAATTTGCCATTTAATTGGCCACAATGAGTAAATCCACATCGACTCCACTTGTAGTCCTCTTGAGGTTTTTACAAGTAGCGCTTGTCTCGGAGCATATAATCAATACAGCCAGTTCTGCTATAACGCAAATTGGCTGTAACGTGACTGACGAATAGGGGAACGCTAGTTCTAAAATACAAACTTGTGTTGGCTATAATGCAATTCCATCAGTACTCAATGTATTGCAGGGAAAATAAACTGTGGATTTCAAGATTCTCCTCAAATTGGATAATGCGCCAAGCCAGCCCCTCACCTTTTTGAGCTTTCTGAAAACATCAAAGTGCTTTTTCTACCTCCAAACACAACCTCTCTCCTTCAGCCCATGGACCAGGGTGCAATGGCAGCTTTTAAAGCTTGTTATTTAAGGCGCACATTTAAGAGGCTGACTGCAGCCACTGAGGGGGATAAGGACAGTGTTCTTCAATTTAGGAAGAACTTTAGCATCAATTGACATTATTGTGGAGGCCTGGGGTGATGTAGGTAAGGACTGTTTGCATTCACTTTGGTGGAAGCTTCTCCCAGATTTTTTTTTCCCAAGATTTTAAAGGCTTTGAGCCATCAGAGGAGCTCCTAAGAATCAAAGAACATTGTGTTGATCTTGCAAAGCAAGTTGGATTTGAAGTGGAGAGTGAGGATGTTGAAGAGCTGCTTGGGTCCCACTGTGAAGACCTCTCTACAGCTGATAGACAACAACTTGTTGCTGAGGGGGAAGTGGGAGATGGAGATGAAAATGAAGAAGTCCAGGATGCAGCAATACTAGACCTTTCCACTTCTGTTTTGCCTTCCATCCTGAGGGAAATTGAGAAGCAGTTTCAGCTCTTAGAGGACAACAATTACAATACAAAACACAGCAGGATAGCAGTTCGTGGAATAAGATCTTATTTGGCAGCTTCTTGAAAGATGAAAACAGGCAAAGCAACAAAAACTGGATGTCCTGTTTTTTTAAGACAACCTCCAAAAAACAGTCAGAAGACAATGAACCACAGCCATTCACTTCTGGATTTTTGCCCTAACCATGCAAACACAACTGCACCTGAAGATGGTGGTGGTGATGATGACCCTCAGCCCCTGCATTAACAATAGAGTAACCTCTCAACCTCCTCCCCATCAAGTCATCATGACACACATTTTTGCAAGGTAAGGTGTTTAAATTTACTTTTATTTCATTATTAAATATGAATTAAACATTTATTCAAACTCTGCCATCTTTTGTATTAGGCTTTTGAGTGTTTTTTTTTGGTGGTCTGCCTCTAACCCCATTTTTCCCATAGTCCCTGTTATTTTTATAGTGCGATTCTCTATAATGCGATGTTGCGCTGGAATGCAACAATCCTGTCGACTGTATTATCAAGTGGAGGACCAACCTTGGGTCAAAGGAAAAAAAGTGTCAGAAACAGCAACTGACAGACATAAAAATGAAGTGTCAACCTGATGATGGTACAATACAGGCCTACTTACATGCCACACGGCAGATTCAGCATGCAATAAACAAGACTAAGTGATCCCACAATATCAATGGATCAGACCTCAGATGTATCATCCTGCCAGATCCAGTCAAGAATGGTAGTGGATAATTAAACTTGTAGCAATAGGAGGAGGCTTCATGAATAACCCCACTCTCAGTGATGAGGAAAACCCACCACATCATTGCAAACGACAAGGCTTTAAGCATTTTGCACTCACCTTCTGGGAGCTCTAGCTCATCACACATAACAGTCTTCAGGTTTTTACATTCGCTGCATGTCATGTCAAGAAACTGCCGAAGACACTAGATATACTGGAATACATGATGACTTGTTCTCCAAAACTAGTCCAATCTCTCTGAGCAAGTTGTTCCAGTACAAATGTAAGTTTGGCATTTACCAGCAATGTGGAAAATTGCTGGAGCATGACATTGCACGAAAACAAACCAATCCAACCTGGTCAATTATCATGCTGTATATTTACTTGTAATCATTAGCAAAGTGAGGGAAGAGGTCTTTGACAGTGCTATCAAATGGCACTTACTGAGCAATAACATACTGTTTGACACTATTTTGGGTTCAACTCCGGCTATTTAGCTCCGGAGCTCATTGGAGTCTTGGCCCAAATATGCACAAAAGAGCTGATGACCAGAGGCAAGGTGAAATGGGTTACCCTTGACGTCAAGGCAGCATTTGACTGAGTATGGCATCAAGAAGCCCCAGGAAAACTGGAGTTAATAGGAATCAGGGTTGGGGGTGGTTACCTCTTCACTGACTGATTGGAGTCATTCTTAACACAAGGAAGGATGGTCGTCATTGTTAGAGGTAAATCATCTCTGTCATGAGGTCAGAAGAATGAATGTTTACGATGATTGCAAAACGTTCTACATTATTCACCATCCATCTAATATTGAAGCAGTTCATGTCCAAATGTAACAAGGCCTGGGACAACATCTAGCCTTGTGCTTATGTGTGGCACAAATGTCACTTGCCATTTAAGTGTCACGCAATGACCATCTCCAAGAATGAATGTTACAGAAGATGATCACACCCAGTGGCATCACCATCCTTGAATCCTCCACTATCAACATTCTGTGGGTCACCATTGACCATGAACTGTACTGCACCAACCACAGAAATATCTTGGCTCCAAGAGCTGCTGGACATTCTGCAGCAAATAACACCTTCCATCTTCCCAACACACACTGCCCACGATCAACAAGGCACAAGTTAGGAGTATTGATGGAAAACCCTGCACTTGCCCAAATGTGTGCAGCTCTAACAATGCTCAAGAAGCTTGACACCATCTAGGACAAAGCAGCTTCTTCACCACCTTGAACATCCACTTCCTTCACCCAGGTATATACGAATGGGATAAGCCATTCAGCTCCTAAAGCTGTTCTACCATTAATTTAGATCATGGCTTTTACATGTAAAAGCAAAATATTGTGAATGCTGAAATTCTGAAACAAACACAGGAAATGCTAGAGAAGCTCAGCAGCTCTAGAAATATCTGTGGAGACAGAAACAGAATTAACTTCTCAAGTCGGATTTGATTCTTCTTCATTTGGTTTCATCTTGGAGATTTCAAGACCTAGGGGGCATTTTTTTTTAAGGTGAGAGCAGAAAGATTTAAAGACATGGGGATAAATTTTTCACACAGTAGTTCATGTGGGGGGTATACTTCAGAGGAAATGGTGGATGTGGGTACAGTTACAACGTTTAAAAGACATTTGGATAAGTACATGAACAAGAAATGTTTAGAGGGATAGGGGCCAAGTGCAGGCAGGTGGGACTAGTTTAGTTTGGGATTATGATCAGCATGGACTGGTTAGACCGAAGGGTCTGTTTCTGTGCTGTATGACTCTGACTCTTGAACAGACCTATTCACGATAGTGCAACTTCCATTGTCCTTTGTGTAAAGGAGTTTTTCTTGATGTTACCTGTGAATAGTCTAATGGTATGTCCCCTTATTCAGAATTGAAAAAGTTATTTCTACTTTGTCTATTAAATCCTTTAACAGGACCATAGAACCATAGATGACATAGAAAGAGGTCTTTTAGCCCACTCCATCACACACACCAGCCTTCCATCTACTGTCTCCATCTCTACTTCCCTCTGCCTTGGGAAAGCAACCAATGTAATCAAAGACCCCTCCCAGCCTGGTTATACTTTCTTCCACCCACTTCTGTCAGGCAGAAGATATAAATGTTTGAATACACGTATGAACAGATTTAAGAACAGCTTCTTTCCTGCTTTTATCAGACTTTTGAACGGACCTCTCCAATTTTAATGTTGATCTGTTTTTCTCTTTTTTTGTGGCTGTAACACTGCACTTTGCACTCTGTTCTGCTACCTGATGCACTTTGTATGGTACAGTCTGCCTAGAAGCATGCAAAACAACACTCTTCAATGTTTCTTGGTACATGTGACAACAATAAATCAAATCAAGACAAAATCAAACTCCTGTAAGGCCATCCCTCGGCCTCCGATGCTCTGGGGGGATTAAAAAGCCAGGCCTATTCAGCCTCTCCCTTTAATTCAAACCTTCCTGACCTGGCAACATCCTTGTAAATCTTTTTTGTGCACTCTCAAGTTTAACAACTTTCTTCCTATAGAAGGGTGACCAGAATTGTCCATTATAGGCCACTTGTTGAATTATAACATTGTCATAACAGTTGGCCTGTATTATTGCATGACTGGATAATAAATTTAGGCAGTAACATTTCTATTTAAGATGCAAACTTGATTGGGCGTGAAGTGCACCCAAAATTGTGCTAGTTTTGAAAAGTGTTTTCCTAAGATTCCGCTCAAATGAATTTCCATCTTGCCAAAAAGTCAAATCTCCTGTAAACCAACGCAATTAGACAGTGGTTTTGGAGCGACTTAAAAATTGCTTTATAAAATATTCCTTGATATGTTTGAGTGGTAACTGTGTAATTTGATGAATAAAAATAGATTTTCGAAATAAGCATTTTGAATTAGTAATAATTCACCATCTGAGTAAACCAATATTAAATAATTTGTCTTTAATTGTGCTGTAAATTCTTTCAGTTGTACCGGTTACCAGTAGTTTCTTAACAATATAAGACTTTACATCCTTAAACTCAAAGATCTCAAAACAGATATGGTTAGTGGAAAAATCCAATGACTCTTCATTCAAACAAGGGCATATGGGCAGGATGGCTTTTAACATTAACTTTTTGTATCAAGTCATAATTCATTAGAGGTGGTAGAACAGGTTGAGATAGCAGTTAATAAAGCCTCCAGTACTCTAGGCTTTATTAACAAGGGCACGGGTCATATTGCAGCTGTGCAGGACATTGGTGAGGGCAGTTTTAGAATACTGCATTCAATTATGTCTTCCCTACTATAGGAAAGATATTGTTAAACTTGAAAGGGTTCAGAAAAGATTTACAAGGATGATGCTGGGATTGGAAGGTTTGAGCTATAGGAAGAGGCTGAAAAGGCTGGGGCTATTTTCCCTGGAGTGTCAGAGGCTGAGGGGTAACTTTATAGAGGTTTATAAAATCATGAGGGGCATGGATACGGTGAATAGCCAAAGTCTTTCTCCCCAGGGTACCAGAATCTAAAACCAGAGGGCATAGGTTTAGGTTGAGAGGGGAAAGATTTAAAAGGGACCTGAGGGGCAGCTTCTCCCTGCAGAGAGTGGTGTATGTATGGAACGAGCTGTGAGAGGAAGTGTGGAGGCTGGTACAATTAACAACCTTTAAAAGGCACCTGAATGGGTACGTCAATAGGAAGGATTTAGAGGGATTTGGGTCAAATGCTGGCAATGGAACTAGATCAGTTTAGGATAGCTGGTTGTGCAGACTAGTTGGATCAAAGGGTCTGTTTCTGTGTTGTACAACTGTGACTGTATAACCAAAGAGGACATTAGGTCAGCTCCACCTTCAGCATTACATCCAGTTCAGAGCACCGTATTTTAGTAAGGATATGAAGACATTTGAAAGAATGCAGAAGAGGTTTATGAGAATGGTTTTAGGGATGAGGAACGTCAATAATGAAGATGGTATGTAAAACCTGGAATTGTTCTCATTGGAGAAGGGAGGAGATCTGATTTGAAGTACTCAAAATCATGGGACAGCTGGACAAAGCAAATTGAGAGAAAAAAATCCTACATGTGAAATGAATGAGAAAGTGTGGGCATAGATTTGAAGTAATTTTCAGAATAAGCAAAAACGATACGATATTAGGCTCTGGAACGCACTGCCTGGAGTGAACAACCTCTTCTTGCAGCAAGTGTTTTAGGCTCTGGAATTCACTGTCTGGAGTGTGGAGGAGGAGAAGGATTCAATTGAGGTGTTCAGAAGGGAGTTAGATGTTTGTCTGAAAAGGAAGAATATGCAGAATTACAGAGAGAAGGTAGGAAAATGGCAGTAGGCATGATGCTCATTTCAAGAGCTGGTGCAGATATATCAGGTGGAATGGCCTGTCTTTGCACTTTACTGATTTTTCAGCAGTTCTATCAACCTGTATTTACAGAAGCTCCATTTCCTCTGGTCATTGTGTGATGTTTTGCACTGGTTTGACAAACACTGTTGTCATACCAAATTGAATATGATTTGCAAACTGGACCAATTTCAATTAGATTGCAAAATATATGCCATTATCATTTAATAAAAGTTACAGCTGAACAGAGAAGGCTGAAACTCCTCTAACAAGTACCTGCTGTTTCCTATTGTTCAGTTAATTATATATCCCTAGGATGGGCAATCCCTAGGATTAGGTGGGCAATTTTGATGCCTGCCCAGCTAATGAATTATGGGGTAAGCTCAGTTGTGGGTTAGAAGGTAATAGGCTAGCCATCTGATCCATCTCAGTGCCCTTGCTGAAAGTACACTCAGTGGAGTGCATAAATTCTAGTCCTATATTTACATTGTTCCTCTGATTTCAGGCTAATAAAGTCACAATTTCTTAAAAAGAATGTGATAATTGAACGCTTAGAAAATAATGGTCAGACTGGATAGTCAACATGGATTTATGAGATGAAAATGAAGGTTGGAAACCATGTTTAGATCATAACTAACAGAATACAGAAATAGGTCAAAACTCAGATTGTGGCGTATATGGATTTTCAGAAGGCTTTTGATGAAGTCTCACATAGATTAATAAGCATAATTAAAGCACATTGACTCTTCATCAGAACCTTCAAACTCAAAATTTTAACTTGCTTTCTTCCTACAGACTTGCCAGAACTGCTGAATTTCTCCAGCAATTTCTGTTTTTGTTTCAAATCTCCAGAATTCACTGTTTTTTATTTTAAAGCAAATGGGGTTTGGTGTAAAACATTGGCATGGATTGACAATTGTGTGATGGACAGAGAACAGAATAAGAATAAATGAGTAATTGGTTGTAAGGCTGTGGCTTATTGGGGAGGCTATGACCTACTGGTATTATTGCTAGACTAATAATCCAGAAACTCAGCTAATGTTTTGGGAACCTGGGCTCAAATCCTGCCATGGCAGATTGTGAAATTTTAATTCAATAAAGAATCTAATGATGACCATGAAGCCATTGTCAATTGATGGGGGAAAAAAAACCCATCTGGTTCACTAACATTGTTTAGGCATCTGGTCTGGCCTACATGTGACTCTCAACTGGCCTCTGGGCAATTAGGGGCAGTAAATTCTGGCCTAGCCAGAAGACTGTCACATGCTGTGAATAAATTTAAAACTATTGGGGTACTGCAAGGATCATTACTAGAGCCCAGGAGAGCAATAGGTAGGGGCTTGAGGTTCTTTGAGATTGTGGGCTCATTATTTAATAATAAATCTACCATTCATGATTCAGTTAGCAACAGCTCAGAATTAGTAAACATCTGCCAATAATATTGCTGTGCTTTTGGAGATTGGAATTCCAAAGTACTGGTTTTTGACTATTATTTCCAGAAACACTGCCCTTAAGGACAGAATTGAAACATGAAGCAGTCTTAGCTGCCACATTTGTTAAATCTTACTTAAAGTCTCCAGACTCAACATTTTAGGACACTTTTTGCCCCTTGTACCTCCCTAAAGCAGTTTCAACCATTCCAAGACATTGGGGAAATGTCAGCACCAAAGGAATGAATATGTGTCCCTTTATGTAATCTGGGTAGTATTCCTGGGAGCAGCAACTGATAATCAACAAGATATTGCAAGAGATAGTAGGAACTGCAGATGCTGGAGAATCTGAGATAACAAGGTGTAGAGCCCACGGTCTAGGCCCAAAACGTCAGCCTTCCTGCTCCTATGATGCTGCTTGGCCTGCTGTGTTCATCCAGCTCTACAGCAAGATATTGCAAGAAGCTATTTCAGTTGTCTACTGTGAATTGTAGCATCATTCAGTTTACAGTTTGAATGGATGAATAAGGGGAAAAATGCTAGAATTTGCAATTATACAACACCTCTCAAGACCTTTGGATATTTCAAAACATTTTACAGGCAATTAAAAACTTTTAAAGTGTTGTTACTGTTGGGAAACAGACCTGTGGTAACAAATAAGGTTCAGTTCCATACATGGAACATTACAGCGCAGTACAGGCCCTTCGGCCCTCGATACCTTATCTTGTTTGCAGTATGACGTGTGATTTAGGTTTCCATATCCTGTTGTGCAAAATTCTAATTTTGTACTGAAATAGTTTTTGTAGGATAATTATTCTATTCCCAAATCTTTAAAAAAAACGATGAAATATAGCTCGTTCATAAGAAAATTGATTGGGTTGTTTTAATACTTCCTAATTCTGAATTCTGCTGGCCTAGCTAGTTTTCTCTTGAGGCACTGGCAAAGGATTTCAGAATGTACCTAACTGAAAGGTGACAGCACTCGAATTCACAAATAGAAGACACGTTGGCTGTTAATCCTTTTTCAGGCTGAACGGTATCACCTGACTCCATCAAAGCTGTCGCCTGGGGGCCCCTAGGGAGGTTTCAAACTATCGACATAAAGGGACGTACTTTGTCTTTGATCTGTTTTACTTGTTATCTAAAATAAGATTCTCTTGCTTTAAAGTATTTGCAATTCTGAGCGCATTTGGCGTGTGAAATTGTGGCCTGTTAATGTGTCCAAGCAGATTCACTTGCATAGTGTGAGAAGAGCCCACTGCATTCGGGTCACAGCTGAGAGATCCTATCCGGACGCTGGTCCGTGTTTCGTGCAACATCCTTCTGACTGCTGTGTAGGGTGAGCTATTAGTCTGGCTGCTGCTCGCGTACATAATTACTCGTGGGATGGGCAACCACGCACCTGGATGGCTGTTTATTTTATGATTTGACTATGATGACCAGTAACCGTATTTCCTTGTTGTGCAAGAATATTACTGAAATGTGGCTGCGACTGAGGAAAATGACAGGTGTGTTTTGGAAGAGCAACTTCGCTCTCGGTTACAAGGAGATTAAATAACAGCTGGTGTTCAGTGTCACAGGAACTGAAGGTGTTTCAAAGACCGGTTAATCACAGGTTTAAACTTTTTTGGTGGAGGGATGGTACTGTCCTCTCACTATAACTGGAGTCAAAATCACTTAAAGTAAGTAATGAACTAATCAACCCTGTAATTGTACTGTATCCCTGACTCTGGGCTGCGACCTACCCGTGTTCCTGACTCTGGGGCAGGAGCTACCTGTGATGACTTATAATACAACTCATCACTACAATTTGTATTAAAGGGAGTAGGAAAAAAACCCTTTAGAAATACATACCATAACATAAAGTTATTTAAGCCTTTTCACTCAGATTTCTCTTGTGATTTGAGGTTAGACTGCTTTGCTTCAATGACCGGTTCCATCACAGTGATTTTAGCCTTGAACCAATCATCATTTCCAGGCCATGATGTCTGAGGCCAGAGGGCCATGCCTAATAGTTTGCACCCTTGTGTTGAAACGTCCCAGTATATAGAAGAGTTCTGCCTTCAGGATATTGCTGGTAGTAGTATAAATCTCTTTAAGGACCTTTTTTTAATCTCTGTCGTGGAGCAAAATGTTGGAGCTTGGATACCCATGCATTGAGGCCTTGTTTGAGTACAGAGATAGACAAGAGAAAACACCCTCAAGCCGTTTGTCGGAGGAGGGCTTTATTATCATAAAGAATAGGTGGTTTAATTGAAACAGATAAGATTTTTGAGGAGATTTGACAGGGTAGATATATTTTCCCTTTGTGTGAACCTAGAGCTGGGGACACAGTTTCAAAATATGGGGTTGCCCATTTAAGAAGTGGAAGAGGAGAAATTTCTTCTGTCAAACCTTGGGAATTCTTTACAGTTGCAAGCAGTTGCACTGAAGTCATTAGGTTCTAAAAGTAAGAACTATCGGGGTTCAAGAGTCAAGGGTAATGGGGAATGGACAGGATCTTATTGATTTGGTGGAGGTGCCTGAGGAGCCATAAAGCTTACTTTGGCCTATTTCATTCTTATTGACAGTTTTTATACCTTATGTTTCATTATTTGTGACCAGAAAAGTAGAGAATGATCCATGAAAAGCGGAGTGTTATTGACTGCGTATGTGTTGCATTTAGGATGTGATGATTACAATGCTAAGACATATTGTCCACTCCTACAGTTGATTTGTGGTCATGCTCAGTATTTCAGTGAAATCATACTATCTTCAGAACAGCTATGTATTTTGTCTGTGCCAGACCATTTTTCCATCCGTATCTGAGCTGCTACATTGAACCGAATACTGACTACTTGATCATAACTGTAATGTGCAACTCAAACACCTATGGGCACCTTGCCTATAATTTGAGCCATACTCCAAAACAAGACATCATTTGAGCAGACCCTTAGAAAGCTGATGCATTGCTTCACGTCCCTAAAGGAGCCCTACAGTAAAACCATAAGGCCATAACACCATAAGAAATAGAAACAGGAGTAGGGTGTTTCGCCTCTTGAGTTTGCTTCACCACTCTTCAGGATCCTAGCTAATCTGACATTCCATACATTCACTTTCTTTTCCTTTCCCTACAGCCCTTGATATCCCTACTGATCAAGAGTCTATCTATCTGTACATGTCAGCCTTAAATATACACAAGGACTCTGCCTCCATAGCTGTCTGTGGCAAGGAGTTCCAAAGACTGTCAATCCTCAGAAGAAATTCCTCCTCATCACAATCTTAAATTGGTGCCCGTTTATTCTGAGACTGTGCTGTCTAGACTAGACTCTCCCATGAGGGGAAACATCCTCTCTGCATTGACCCTGTCAAGTCCCATAAGAATCTGATCGGTTTCAATGAGATCAACTGTTGTTCTTCTAAATTCCAATGAATAGAATCCCAACCTGTTTAACATTTGCTCATAGGACAATCCTTCCAAACCAGGGAGTCATCATAGTGAATCTTCTCTGAAATGCTTCAATTGAATAATATCGTGTCTTAAATAAGGTACTGCTCACAGTACTTCAGATGTAGTCTCACCAGCACCTTATACAGTTGTAGTAAGATTTCGCTACTCTTAAACTCCAACCCCTTGAAATAAGGGCCAACGTTCCATTAGCCTCCCTGATTACCTCCTGCACCTGTGTGTGAGCTCTCTGTTTTCTGCACAAGTACCCTCAAGTACCTTTTTTGCAGTGTTCTGCAGTTTTTCTCCAGTTAGATAATATTTTTTTTTTATTTTTGTGTGAAAATTTGGCTATAGTACTTTTGCTGCCTTCCTCCAAGTCATTAATGTGTACTTGGCAGTCCCAGCACTGATCCCTGTGGAATCCCTGGTTATATGTTGCCAACCTGAAAAAGAACCCCTAATCCCCAGTTGCAGTTTCCTGCCCAATAGAATTCTGCACTGACATCAATATACGGTCTTTAATACCATTGGCTCTTACCTTGTGAAATGCCTTCTGGAAGTCTAAATACAACATTGATTCCCATCTATCCATTCTGTTCGAGACTTCCTTGAGAAACTAGGAAAGTAGTCAGACATGAGTTCTTTTTTTTCATGATGTCATGATTACTCTGCTTGATTAGATTATAATTTTACAAATGTGTGGAAATTCCTTCCTTAATAATTGATTTCAACATTTTTCCAACAATACATGTTAGGATAAGTTACCTACTTTTTGTACTCTCCCTTTTTGAATAGGGTTGTTACCTTGGCAGTTTTCCACTGCTTCTCCAGAGTCTAAAGACTTTTGGAAAATTACAACCAATGCATCTGTGTAGCCACTTCTCTTAGAATCCTTGGATGCAAGCTGTCAGGCCCATGGGGTGTGTCTGCCTTTAGCCTCATTTAGGTTGTCTAATACTACTTCCCTAATGATGGTGATGGTACTTAATTCCTTCCCCATATTCTTTTAGTACTAATGGGATGTTCAAAATACCTTCCACCGTAAAGGCTGATATCAAATATCTGTTTAACTCCTCTGCCATTTCCTTCCCCTATAATTGTAGTGATTGAATAAGGTCAACCAGTTGCGTCTCATAGAATGAGTCAACACAGTGTGGAGCTGGAGGAACACAGCAGGCCAGGCAGCATCAGAGGAGCAGGAAAGTCTGGGTCGGGATCCTCACTTTCCTGCTCCTAATGCTGCCTGACCTGCTGTGTTCCTCCTGCTCCACATTGTATTGACTCTGACTCCAGCAGTTCTTGCTATCTCCATCTCTCGAATGAGTTTCCTGATTGGGGCTGTTAACCTGGTCCAGTCAGGGAGCCCTGACTGACAGACAGATATAAACAGGAGTGTCAGGGGTTCTGCTCACTGAGATCTGGCTCTGAGTCAGAGTCATGTACTGTGCATGTTTAAACAAAGGGTGATGGGATACAGGCCTTTGTGGAGTTATTTCAATAACTATTTCCCCAGATTTGTTTTCTAAGGGACTTGTGTTCACTTTTGCTTCTCTCTTGCTTTTTATGTATTTAAAGAAACTCTAGTTGTCAGTTTTTACATTCCTTGCTAGTTTGCCCTCAGTTTATTTTCTCTACCTTTTTTTATCCTTTTAGTCCTCCTTTGCTGGAGTCTGAATTTGAGTCTTTAGGGTTATCGCTGACTTCTGCCTTCCATATATGCTTTCTCTTTCGACTTAATTCTCTCTTTGATTTCCTTGGTTAGCCATTTTTGTTTTAGCTCTCTTATATCCCGGTAAGAAGGAAAGATACTATTTTGTTGTGAGTCATGAATTACCTCCTCAAATGTCTGCCACTACTTGCTTAAACTGTCTTTCCTGCTAAACTATCCACCCAGTCCACTTTAGTTCCATCAATACTCAATTCATTGTGATTTGCTTTATTTAAACTAATCACAGTTGTTATTGGCCAAAGTTTCTCACTCTGAAACTGAATGTTAAATTCTCTCCTGATGTAATCACTCCCTCCTCTGAGATTTCTAATTCAATTATTAAACCAGATTCATTATCCATTACCAGATTCAATTTAGCCTGTTCTCTGGTTAGCTCCATGACACATTGCTCTAGGAAACCATTCCTAATATACTGTGAATCTGTTGTAATTACCCTTTCCAATCTGATTAACCTGATCAACGTGAAGATTTAAAGTTATCCCTAATTATTGCTATTCTTTTTGCCTGCTACTTAAATTTGTTGATTTTATACCTGTTCCTACAATGTCGGAGCCTATACACTACTACTACCACCAATGTCATCTATCCTTGTTATTTCTTACATACACCCAAATGAGGTGTACATCATCTGGGTCCAAATTGTCTCTCTCAACTGTCCTCATTTCATGTCCTCATTGCCATTTCCTTCCTCCTGCCTTTCTGAAAGGTCAAATATCCCCAAATAATAAATTCCGAGTTCTGATCTCCTTGTAGCCATGTCTCCGTAATGGCTATGATAACATATCCATTTACCTTGATCTGTGCTGTCAGGATCTTATTTTAATGCATGAAGCTTCAGACTATGAAGCCTTTAGGCTTGCCTTTCTGCTATTTTTAATCATTCTTACTGTTTTTTTGTGTTGTGGCTTTATTTGCCTCGTGCCCTTGATAACCCTATCTATTGTCGCATTTTACTGTTTTTTTTATTATTGTCCTGTTTCTCTTTCCCTTGTCACGTTGCCTAGGTTCCCAATTCCCTTCCATTTTCAGCTCGTTCTGATGATCCTCACCTGGTTTTCACTGCCTGGTTTTCCAAGGCTTTGGAAAATTGACTGTTCATAGCCAGTTTCAAGAAATTAAACGTATATGAAGCTGCAGCCCCCGTGCTGCCCATGTCTACCTAAAGGCATCGAGAGCATTG